TAATCTAATTGATCGTTAAGCAATACATTTGAATGTCTCATTTTGTTAATCTCTATGGCTTCCAATAAATTTAATTTTCTACTTTTTGTGGCTGTATGTAAAATATCAAAATTGTGATCAAAAATGTGTTTTTCTGTGTTTAAGTGCGTAGCATAATTAGAATCTAGACTATTGTTTTTAAACGCTCTTTTATGTTCGTTAATGCGTTTCTTTAATGATCTACCTGTTGGTTCAATATACATTTTAGGACAAGATCCACATTTCAACCTATAGACACCTGATTTTTGAGATTTTGGACACTTGGTTTTGTTATTTTTTAAAAAATTTCCTATTGTGTTGTTAGTTCTGAAAGCTATTTTTAAACCACATTTTGACAAATTTTTTGAAACTTTTTCAATGGGTTCTCATGTGTATGTAATTGTTTTAAATTGTTCGTGTTCTGTATTAGGTTTTTTTAAATTTTTTAAAAGTATACTTTTTTTTATTTTATTTTTTATTTTTTTAAAAGTATAATGATGTCTGGGTTTGTTTTTTATTTATAATTTTATCGATAATGGACGGATTGTTCAGTACAATTTGTTTAATGATATTAAGTTCTTTGTTGTAATTTTCTGTTGAAAGTATTAAGAAGTCTGTCTATAAAAAAATGAAATGCAGGCATTTTGTGTGTTTAAGGGTGATTTGAGCTGTTATGTATAATTGTGTCCATAGGTGAAGGTTTATGGTAAATGGAAAAATCTAATTTGTTTTCCGTTTTCGTAATAGTTAAATCTAAAAAATTAATAGAGTTACCCTATTCAATATCGATAGTGAATTTAATTTATTTATAATAATAATAATAATCAAACTATTTTAGTAGTGTGTTTCAATCGAGGGATACTCCGTCCTACGTTTCATCAGTTCCTACGTTGTATATGAAATTTCTAAAAATTCTATTGGAAAAATATTGCTCAACTTGGAACCTAAAATGGGCCCAGGGCCGCAAAAACTGCCCACTTTTGTCGAAACCTCTTAACATCCTGTTTAATAAATGTCTAGGTCAAGGGACTTTTCTAAAAAGCTGTAAAGTGGCTCAGATAGTCCCTATTTTAAAGTCTAGTGAATCTACAGGCGCCGCCAATTATCGTCCTATTTCTCTCATATGTCACTTTGCCAAGGTTTTTCAGGCTGAAATTTATTCACAGCTGTTTTTTCTGGTAAAAAATGACATAGATCCAAATCAACGTGGTTTTCACAAAAAACGGTCAGTTCCTACAAACTTGGCACCGTTCATCCATTACATCGATGTTTCCATGCATATTGGTTTTAAGACGTGGTTTTAAGGTTTTGATAAAGTTCATCATACAACTCGTCTTCCACCTATTGCCAAGCTATATTACAGAAAGAACCCAGTTAGTTGTTGTCAATGGTAAAAAATATTGTGCAAATGTTACTTCGGGTTTTCCCTGAGAACTTATCTGAGCCATTCACTCTCATATTTTTGTTTTCGATGTTGGCCTTTGTTTTCCGGTTTCTATTAGTGCTTTTTTTTCGAGTAATAAAAGAGATTCGTTCACATTTAGATCATTGGAGCTCCAGAGAAATCTTGATATTAACTTAATACTTCATAATAAACAGCTGAAAAGAGTGAAGCAAGTAAAAGACTCAGAAATTGTACCTGACTCTCAGTTAAATTTTGAGGTTTGTATCGAAAGTATTGCCAAAAAATTTTGAGAAATCTGAGCTTCATTTTGAGAACTACCAAAGGGTTTAACAAGCATCAGTCAGTAAGTATCATCTATAATAGCATGATAAGCTCTATATTAAGGTACTCATCGAAAGTTTGGTATCCTATTTATAGTAAATATATCATCAGAATACATACACCCAAAAAAACTTTTTAACAACTGAAACTTAGATACAACAGAGATCGACACCTTTACTCGTACGAAAAAAACTTAAAATTTTTCCATTCGCTTGAAACTCGAAGAAACTATTTTGAAGTTGCTTTTCTTTATAAAGTCGTAAATAACCTTGTGGATTCTTCTTTTTTATAAAATACTTGAGCTTTAACGCTGGTCAATTGACCACTTCCTAGTTGACTAGTTAAGTTCAATCAAAATGTTTTAAATAACATCTTTATTATGCGTTTGTGATGTCATTCCATTTAGCTCTCAGAACGACGTGACGGCGACGTATTGCACAAGGATTTCGCTGCGATCGGTGTTTTTGAGAATGTAAACAAATAGAATGAAAGCAACCTTATTAGCCAATGAATAAAACATTTTTAAATGTTGCTGTTCCGTTCTACGGTAAAAGCCGCTTTGCGTGTTTTATTGTTTCGTCTTTCGCATTCGTTATAAAAATTGTGATCGAGTAACACGCCTCTAGCGCTCTTTTTCTAATTTGTAATGTCAACTAAAAAAAAAGAGAAACGAGTTTCTACATGAGAACAATCTATGTTGCCGCTTAAAGTGAAAATAGAAATGCTCGATCGTTTTCGCCTTGGAGAGTCATTTGCATCCATATCGCGCAATAGAAAAAATGGAAGCGACTTTGTCATTATGGATCGAAGATCGCAACCAAAAAGGGACCCTTGAGTGGCCTAATGGTCCCGGAGAAGGCGAAGCGTCTGTACAGATGGAAGATTTCAAGTATCGAAAGGCTGGTTCAATAAATTTAAAGTGAAACAATCATTGCATAACATTAAAATTGTTGGAGGAGCAGCATCTGCAGACATTGCTGCAGCAGAAAGATATCCAGATGAATTTGCAAACATAGTAGCTGATGCAGGATACAAACCTGAGCAAGTATTTACTGCAAACCCAACCGCACCGTTTTGGAAGAGATTGCCAAACAAAACATTCATTTCTAAAAGCGAAAAGTCTGCTCCTGTCTTTAAGGCAGCAAAAGATAGAGTTAACTTATTTAAACTTAAACTTATTTAAAAAAAAAAAAACAGAATTTAGACGGCTTTTAAGCCTTTAAGCTCCAAGTCACATATACAATATATAGGAAGATGCGCAGTGGGCGATTAGCTTAACCCGTTGAATAGAATAATAAACAGCTGTGTCAGCATTTTCATTTGTCATTTTTATGGAAAATTATATCAGTAGAATATATTTCTACAAGGGGCTTATTGGAATTCAAATTGAGACCCGCATTCAATCTGCCATTGAATGGCTGGTGAGGAGGCAAATGAGTTAGCTTATGGTAGATTGGAAAACCTGGCGGGTTTTATATGTCATAAATTAAAAGATCCTTCATTGGAAGGTCATTTTCAGGGATTGACCATTTAAGCGAAGGTGGTTTTTCCAAAGCTTCTCCAACATTTACAAGCAGTATTGAAAAGCTAAACATAGTATTTGTTGAAATTAGTGGCAAAGGTACAATGCTATGTCCCGAGAAGGCAAAACGCCTTTCACACCTAGGGTGTTCTTTAGAATGAAAGATCTTAGTAAATAAATGAGTGAAACCAAAACAAGAAAAAGGCAATTGACTAAAATTTTATCTTATTTTTGATTGTTCTGTGCTTTAGTCTTAAGTATTTTGTAAAATTAAACGGTTCAAACTTTTAGGGTCGACAAACATCTGGGTTTTTGGATACTTCCTTTAGATTTTTGTGTTTCTCTTAAGTAACATCTTTTTTTTCTTAATAATATTAATAATTAATTAACATACATTAACTTTAAGATAGAGGACCCATATTATAAGTATAGGAATAAGTAAGCCATTAATTGTACTTCGAAACATGCTTGAATTGTTTGTAAGTGTTAGGCGAAAGTCAGCGGGATACTCTTAGAGATCTCAACTTACACTTAGAGGTTTTTCACCAAAATATCTGCCTTTAATGAGTAATAATCAGCCGGCCAATTACAATTGTTTGTCTTTTTTTATATTGTAATATTTACAATATATATGTAATATGTGTTCTTCATTCTTCTGTGTTTATTTGCTCATTTCATTTTTTTTTTGTTTTTTGTATCTATTTATATCAATTTTTGTTATTAACTACAATAAGATTAAATTAGCTCGGATTTTACAGTTTTAACACTTCCTTTGTTGATTATGCTAAACACAGTGAATTATATATTTCAACAAAAAGAGCATTTATTATTATTATTATTATTATTATTAATTTATTTATTTATCATATTATAAAACAATTGTTAATATTTACCTCTACCTATCTAAATATATTATAAATTAACGACCAAAGCTCACATATTCTGCACAAATAATAAAATGTAGTCTTAAAACATCAATAAATTTATTTTTCAAAGATTTTCTATCCATCATATTCATACAATCCTCAAAATCGAATTTAAATACACCGCAATTCTTCGTTTAAACGCCTGGGTACTACACAACGAGTGACGTCATGCGCAGCCTGAACTCACAATCGTTCATGGGAGCATCGGACCATGTTTAATTAGACGAATCTTCAAAATCAAACTAAACATAAAAGAATCATTGGAAGAACTGAAGCCACATACATTGAAGTCATGCTGCAAAAAACTGGGACCTGCTCTGACTGCGGACAATGACGAAGAATCTGTGCAAGTGACATTTAGGAATTACTTGAATCGCAAGATGAAGATTTATTTGGAAACGATTAGGAGGAAATATTAAATTCACGGCCCATTGAAGAAGAGGCTTCAACAAGCATATTTAATTTGAAAAATCTTAGTGAAGGTTTAAGAATGGCAAATGAGCTTTGCGATTTATTTATGACCATTATTTTTGTTTTTAATTTTATTTTGTCACCTAGTAACGCATCACCTATAATCCCATATAAATTACGAACTTCCACTATCTTGCATTTTTATATTTTACTTTTCATCAACCTTTAAGTTTACGAACATTTCTTGCAAAAATGCATTGTTGAAAACGGCAACGTTGCACGGACCAAAATATTTTACTTTATTTGAGAAGCGTCGAAAATCTAAGTACCTGTCAACGTCGAACCTACCATCGCCCTGTAAAATATGTCGTACTCGTACTTCTTATAAACTCCTTACCTCGGAACATCGATTCGGATGCTTTTAAAAAACTCCGCGTCGTAATCGGGACTGAAATCGTCGCGAGAAAATTCCTTCCTCTGGCTGACGGTGATTTCCAGCGAGTCGAACGAAAACTGCGAAAATATACTGGGCGACGACGAATTCTCCTGGCATTGTTTCTCCAGCGTTTCGAACTGCAGCAAACTGCTCGATCTACTCAGCGAAGTTTCGTCGTCGTCGACTGGTAGACTAAGATACAGATCCTGTTTGCGTCGTTTGGCCGGACAGGCCAGTTCCCGGTCCGAGTCGCAGTCTAAATCTTCTGCAAAATGCAAAACGCGCTGATTTCCGACCCCGAATTCGCTACTTTATGGGCGTGGGCTTATTTGTTTCCGCACCATAACATTGTATCCAAAGGAAATCAAGTAAGTCTTAACAACGGTGAAGCCAATATCAAAATCACATTCAAAACGGACACTCATTAAAATAACTTTTAAAACTATAAAAAAGAATTTATGGAAAGGTTTTAATTAATTAATGATATATAATTTGTAGGCATTTAATGTCTGTTTCTAACCGATGCGCAGTAATAAAAACGTTCATAGGCATGGGTAGAAACTTAATCCATAAAATTATATAATTATATATATTGCAATAACTCATCTTTATCAATGAGCGAAAAAGTAAATGCTTGAAATGATTGGAATTATGCTCTGTTTTTAAAATTATAAATCGTTATCGAATTGTAAGCTCAATGGTGTTCCATAGGCTATTGCCATTAAGATGATTGTCAAGGGTCCCGAGGGTGACAGGTAGGTGGAGAGACAGTTGACCTACCTGTGCCTTAGCATTTAAAATTAGAATTATAATTACATTCCACCCTATTTAAAGATTCCTGTCAAAGCAAATTTTGCATTTCGCTACTCTCTCGCATTAAAAAATCAAATATAGGAAACTGTATTTAAGTTATTACACGAAAGATATGCAATCAAATGAAACGTGCCAAAAAAAGTCCGGGAAGGCCACGATACAAAATATATAATTCGGAAAATGAAAAATCTTGAAAGATATGAGTTTTTTCTTGTTGGCGAAAAAAAAATTTTTTTTAAACTGATTATGTGTATTAATGAAACTCATGTGCTCATATTGCTAGTGCTTGTCAGACTTCAATAGAATTAAAAGCTGGCCCAAGGGTACGATGAGGAAAAAGAAGAAGACTAATAGTTCTAATTTCTAAAAAGACAGTTTAATTGACATTTGAATCATCTTCCGATTAAGTGATTGAAGAAGATCGATAGGTATCATTCACGACGGCCGTATAGAAGAAAAAAAACCATTTCGCCTTGCCCAAAACAAGAGATTTTCGATTGGCTTGAGATATTTGAATTAGAAAAAACATGATAAAGAAAGAAATATTAGCCAGAAGAAAAAAAAAGTGTTTTCTTGGTGGGTAGTTCATCGAAGTGTTGAGGAAGAATGTGACCTTTATTATATTAATCTCTTATAATTCATATATTATGAATGTTGTTACAGGCTTTATTCCATGATTGTGATTTATTCTATTTTTTTCAAACTGTTTCAATAATATCCCGAAGATCGAAACCAGTATGTTACAACAGTCAGCAAAGTAAGGCGTAGATTCGTCGAATGGTCCCAAAACGAGATTGCCGTTGTTCCCGATTTTCATAAGCGAATTTTGTTTAACGATGAAGCGCACTTCTGGTTGAATGGCTACGTCAACAAACAAAACTGCCGCATTTGGAGCGAAGCTAATCCTCAAGTGTATGTCGAAACACCGTTACATCCAGAAGAACTGGACTCATTGGTCCGTACTTCTGCAAAAACGATGATGGCCAGAACGTTACAGTCAATGGTGATCGGTATAGAGCTACGATTACTAACTTTTTCATTCCTGAATTGAATAACCATGATGTCCAGGAGATGTGGTTTCAACAAGACGGCGCAACATGTCACACAGCCCGTGCCAAAATGGATTTATTAAAAGACACGTTCGGTGACCACCTAATTTCACGTTTTGGACCTATGAATTGGCCTCCAAGATCTTGTGATTTAACACCGCTAGACTACTTTCTGTGGGGCTATGTAAAGTCATTGGTCTATACGGATAAGCCACAAACGTTTGACCATTTGGAAGACAACATTCGCCGTGTTATTGCCGATATACGGCCACAAATGTTGGAAAAAGTCATCGAAAATCGGACGTCCAGATTGGACTATATCCGCGCCAGCCGTGGCAGTCATATGCCAGAAATCATATTTAAAATGTAATGCCACAAGATTATCTTTCGGATAAATAAAATTAATGTCAATCGAATAATCCATCTTTGTTTTATTGCAACTTAAAGTTCTATACATCGAAAAAAAAAACCTTATAAATGACGTTTTTACTTCCAGGCTCCTGTGTTGCATATGCAGACGGTACTATAAGACTACTCAGAACAAATTGTGCCTTAGCAAACAGAAGATTGATTGATAATTTCAAGCAATGCCAAACTGTAGAAAGGTAAATCAGTTAAGGTGTTGCAGAGGATTCAAGTAGATGACGCATGTAACAAATTCTCTAGCAATATATTTTTTTGAGCCACAGGATTATGCCTTTGCCTTGCATTTTCGTTTATTTCGCCTAATTTGAAATGCATCTTAAAAATATACACTTACCATTCAAGAGTAAAAATCATTCAATCACTCTTATAATTTTAGGAAAGATTTAATCACTATCCCGCTGCATAGGATGTCAAAGTTTGTTGCTAATTCTTTGAATTAGACACTGTACATTAGACTGCCGATATCTGTTAAAATCCTCTTTAACAAAAAAAAATAAATGATCAATGAAAGAACATCTGCTTGCTTATTGCTTCGAATCAGTTCAGGAATACCTTGAAAGCAATTTTGTTTTCGACAAAAATAATTAAGCGGTAGCCACGTTTTTCTTTTTTTGTTGTGCTATTATTTATTTTAATATTTCTGTATTCACATATGTATGTGTTTCTACTTAATTGTTTTATATTATATTATTTTGACTGGCTATAATGTACCTTGGACAAAAATGGTCAATAGTTATTTTTTTATTCATTTATTTTTATGTTCATTGTATGGATATTGTATGCATTGGAAAATGTTCTATCAATCAAGTTCTCAGAATTTAATGGATAACTTAGTTATACTGGATTTATTTTACATTGTCCTGACAATAATACATAGCCTGGGATATTTACGATTTACTAAACCTTAACTTAAAAAAGTTCCCGGTAAATAAAGTTCTATTCTATTCTATTCTTAGCTTTCTTAGAGTTTTTTTTTTCTCACATATTATGAACTCATTAAGCCTTTTGATACAATGTTATTGGTTGTGCATGCATCATAACCATATAGCTATTAGATAGTCTAGCTAACCTGAAATTTTCACGGCTCTTTCTATACTCTTTTTTTTTTAATTTAATGAAATCTGGGCATGTTTTGATATCAACCGAAAACTCCCAAATTGTTGAACGTCGAAAGGTGTTATTACTTAGTTTGAAATAACATTGATTGACAACGAGATTTGAAATGACCACGAACTCAATGGCCCTTGTTTTTTTGATGGTTTTAAAAGTTACTGAAGTGTAGGCATAGGCAAAGCCGCTGTCTACCTAGAAGCCATATGCTTATAACGAATCAACTATTTTCAACATTTGCGGTGTCACATAAAAAAAAACAATTTCAGTAGTCTAAACAATCATGGCAGTGCGAAACAGCTGCTGTGGCTATGACTCTAAATTTTATTGCAGACATTGTTAAAAAAGCAAACACCTTTATTGTATATGCCAAAACACTCGGGAAGCTGGAAAACTGTTCTTTTCTAATGTGTAATATATAGAGGATTATATAGAATATATAGAATCTCTCCGTAATCGCAAACAAGTATTAGCTAATAACTAGAATGTTTTTTATTCATTTGCCAATATAAAGAGGTATGGTTATGGAGGTATAAGTTTTGCTACATGCGTTATGCATGCAATTTGATGAAAAATTCGAAAATGGATTAAAAAAAAGGTGTTCTATTTAAAAAAAAAAGGAGCTCGTTATCGAAAAAATTATGACGGAGATGTGAAATGCAATACCTGATTTTTAAATCAATTTATTCTATATTTTAGCTGTTCACAAAGATACATATATAATAGCTTTTCTATGGCGCTTCTCGATATCCACTCAGGTCATTTCTTGTAACAGTTTCTTGCTAACATCTTTGTCTGTATATCATGTTTCTAGCTTCTTGGTGGTCTTCCTTTTTTCTTTCTTTCTGGGAGAAACCAATTCCAATTTTACTTTCAATATTTATTCCCTTCCATTCCATTCTCTGGACGTGGCCATACCAACTGAGCATTTTAGTTCGGATGGTATTCAATCATACCAATTTGCTCGATAGTTGAAGTTCTATTACTTCTTCTCCAGTAATCTGAAGCAAACAAATCGTTTATTGTTTCGTTTTGTAAACCCCTAGGTTTCTGATCCATAACTGTATATTGACTCAAAGATTGACTTGTCATTTTGTGTCTTACGTAATTCCGTCACTTCGAGGCAGTGAGTTATGTTATTTTATAACTCTTTTTCCTTGCTCTATTTTACTGGAGATATCTTCGTTGCTATTTTCGTTTTTTTAGTTTGTTTAGTTTTAATAGCGTCACTGGTGGCCGTGTCATGGTTTCTCCACCTCACTCTAATCTTTGTTTTCTTGGAATTAATAACTAGAGCATAGTCTTCGAGTTGGTTTTTTTAAATACGTTTGGATATCTTTACTTGTTTTCGGTTATTGATTATTATCACGTTTCTAATAAAATTAGACTTCATAACTAGATGATTATGAATCACAGAGCAGAGGTTAACAAAGGGTGAGATAGATGAGAGAAAAATTAAAATCAAACGAGATCCTCTGAAGTTACCTGACATAGAAATTGGTGTTGTGAATTTATGAACACACGGATGTATTAAACTAAAATAACTTTATTAATAATGAATACACTTATTTTAAATTAACACTCTCTCATGTTAGGTTAGGTTCTATTCTACACCGTTTCCTCTTCTCTTTTTACAGTGGATTAATGACAAGTAATCACAACACTCCTCCTCGATTTGAACTTTTACAAATGTTTGGATAAATGAAAATCGTGATTACAAGAATAAACAATTGCAGTGTTATACAATATTACACTTATCTCAAAGTTTTACAAATAAATCCTTGCTTAAAGGTTATGTTAACATATCTGCTAAATTTTCCTCAGTTGGTACATATTCAACAGATATTTCCTTGTGTAATACTAAATC